TTAATTATTATTATATGTTGATACTGACTAATTATCCTTGTATAAACTTTGATCAAGATTCGATTAGAGATTTCCGTTGCAATTTAGTACCGAGTTGAAAGTAGACATGTGTGAAAAGTTATATTTGTGTAAATCTCAACGAAACTGAAATAAGTAATTCTAACATTTCTTTAGGTAAACTGGTTCATATGACTAATTATTGTTAGCAAACTTATCTGCACCAGACTGGTCGAATTCTCTATTGTATTCAAATTCGTATACTTGCATATATATACACACATTAGGTAGAGTAAGAACTAGCTGGAAAGTGAATGTTATTTGGTTCTTTCCGATCATCTTCCAAAGCAGATTGACACAAAATAGAGCACTCTGCATGGCATAAATAAATGTTTCACTACTTCCAAGTGGTGACTGAAGACTGTCTCAATTTAAGTTACGGGAGTGATCATGAGCAAATATCTGTTAGGGATTTGTTGAAAAATCAGCGAAGTGTACTGGACAGCACTTCCATCCTAGTCTGGAGCTTTTCTGCAGTACATGCTTTCCGGTTCACATTACACGACTTTTCGGTTACAAGGCGAGCTTGTGGACCATAGTGTAAGACAAGTGTGAACTGATGGCATAAACAGGTTCATGCCTTTTTGTAACAGTATATGAGCCTTTCGACTTCAGAAGAAGGTTTTGTGAACCTGTTTTCATTGAACACACAGCTAACTTCAAGGTGAAGAAAACTTCAGAATTATATCATCTAACTAAGTGGACACAACAACGCTGAAATATGACAATATTTTGACGTATTAGTGTTAACATTAGACCAAATCGAATATATCTTACAAATATATCAAATTCACTTGATACCCTGGCACAACTAAGGACTTCAACAGTATATCTGCATTTCTCGCTCTTCTCTGCACTCCTCGTTACTTACCCATTCTAACCAGCCATCTAATATTCGGCATGGAGTAAAGTCTGCAGCTAACTGTTGGAGATGCTTTCCTTGACACTTCAATTCTCTGAACCACATAGGAGAACTGACTGAATTAATATTAGCTTTGAAAATCCGATTCTGGTTCCTCATGCTGAGTGCGCTACAGATTTCCACACTGATTACAGGTTCTAATGAGTTTCTGTCTTGCTTTTACGATCCTAGCTAACTTTGACACCCTCATCCATGCCACATGCGTTAGCTGAGTGGGTGCAGTGACCTCCTTCAAATTTCTTTTGTTGCTAATGGTTGGCGCTTGTTGTTGTTGTTGGCTGGTTTTCTTCATCACCTCTGATTTCTCTCTGATCAGTTGAAGTGTTGTCTTCTCTTCGCACCTCCTCTACTAACACTTGTTGGTTTAAACATTTCCTCAGTTTAAAAACTTTTGTAAAAACCTACTATTCAATTTCTAATTCCACTTGTATTATTGATTTTATGCTTCAATCACAGTGGGCGCCTCAAATCAGAAAAATTGCCATGAAACCAACTTCTCATATGTTTGTTGACCTGAATGATGTTATTTAAACACTAAATGGTCGTTTCATTCATTTGATGCCAGGATCACGAGTGTTACATCCAGGCACACTGAACTTAGCGGAGTCAGATTAGTTCGAAATGTGCGAATTTTGACTTTCGACTCAGGGAACTTCTGATCATATTTCTATTCTTTCCATTCGCTTGCAGTGGAATATATGTGCGCAGCGATGCATCCCTATTCCAGTCAATTGTCTGCCTTAGCTTTCAGGTAGGTCCATGATTCCCGGTAGTCTTCCAATTCACCTGGTCTTCACCATGCCAATTTCGAACGACCCTCTTGTCAGTTTGTATCTCAGTTTAGCTTGACATCTTGATACCATCATCATAATTAAGCATAATGAAAAATATATTAATTTTCAGTATTCATACCAAGTAAAGTGAGCGTCACCTTAAATATTTTCAACAGGCCATTACACAATTTCATCATCAACACTAACCACCTTCACCTGCGATGTATAGGCAGGAAACAAAGAACTCCATGAACTCTCTTACAAATTGCCGCGCCTGAGCAGTGATGGTTCGAGACTTTCATGAAGCCGGCTCATCCTCCCGTAGGAGATAGCCGAAGTAAAGTAAGTAAGTAAGTAAGAAACAAAGAACTCCAGCAGGTTTCCGACCATTCAAAGGTCTAATTCCCGACAAACATGTATGAGGGAATAGAGATAGACTGAATATACGTCGAGGAAACCTTCACAAGCCAGACTGTTGAGCTAAACAAGTTCGCCGTTTGATTATAACACGGAGAAGATGTGATAGAGATACTTTAGTTTGTAGAAAAAGTATCACTGATTTGAAAAGATATTAAAGGATAGGCACACTCATTTGAACCGTCTGAAATGAATTTTCAAAGTTCGATCTTTCATCAAAGTTCATCAGTTCAACTTATGGCATTTCAGCAAAGCGAACATCAAAGAAGTAGTAGTAGGATAGGTAATAAAACCGAAATATACTCAAGAAAGAATAGTTAAACCAGAGTTATTTTGAGCTGAGTAACGCGATCACTGATTCTTAGCATACAGAAGACTCCTCAGCCTACACTTCCCTAAGTTTCAATATCCATATGACAGAGACTTCATGGATAGGTATCATGTTTAACCTTGACGACCCGTAACTCTGTCTTGAACTAATCTTATTCTAGTTGACATTGGTCAGTGAGGAGAATGATGGTTCTGTATGTATAATACATATACATATATCTTATCTATCCCAACAAAAGTACCTTAATAGCCTCGTTGGTTGAATTTCCCTCCTTACCCAGTATTTTATTTCTAACCAATTGATTACTGAAAACATTTTAAAACCTATAAGGAGAGAGTGGACGCATACACCTCTTGCAAAAAATAGCTAACAGTTTTGGAGTATCTTCAGCTCTGAGAGGCCATACCTTTAAGCTATGAAGAAGAATGAAGTAGACTTTTGATACTGTGTAAATATAAACCGATAGACAGATATTAAGGTTCTTGTACAAGCGTAACGGAAGCAGTCAGATAGTTGTCACCCGATATGTCTTTTTTTATTACAGCTTGATTCCACACCGTATTTTTGGTACAAGTATGGAATTTTCAGCATGGATATCGGTAGCCCAAATTTCGCAAGCCGACCATAGATATCAGGTGTGCGTCGGCAGGGGATCGAACCTCGGACCATGTGGATGGTCGGCAAGCGTCCTAACTGCTGTGCCACTGACGCACACACAATGAATAAGTATTATTTACTGGATGACGAGGTTTCGAACGAAATTAATTGTTAGAGGAGATTTGTAGCTCAGGTGGATGATTTTGATGTGGTTTTGTTCTCTGAGCTGGATGGTTAGTTTGCGAAGCTTTCATCACCTTACTGGGTGACATCTTCAGCGCATACTTCAATTTGAAGTAAGGTGATGAAAGCTTCGCAAACTAACCATCCAGCTCAGAGAACAAAACCACATCGAAATTAATTGTCCATAATCATATCAATTATAATCACACAACTTCAGTTTTATAGTTTTCTTTGTCTTCTTCTATTTGTCGTCGTAGGGGTAGTAGGATTTTCCAGATATCTGAGACAGGTGTTGAATCGTTTCTATTACATGTATTTGCAGTTGATTAGATAAAAAAGCTACTGTTATCAATCTCTCCCTCCACCCTGTGACATTAGATTTTAAAACTGTCATCCTATCCCATTCAGCCTATTGTATGGTTGTGTGTAATTGCATGTAGTGAGTGGTATAGCTGAACTATCCTCCAGATTTCACAGCAGTAGAACAGGGGCAGTCAGACGAGCCGAACATAAAAACCTAACAAAATATAGATTGGTTGACCCGAATAAGATAAGAAACCTAGAGAATAGTTCAGCTATAGCACTCACCATATGTAGTTACACACAACGACATAATAGGACAACGGCACATATCAAGTGACCCACAACGGAAAACTCAGCGAGGCGTTCAGAGTAAACACAGGAGTCAGACAAGGGTGCTTATTATCACCAATGATATTCCTAATTGTGGTGGACTGACTGGATTATGCGTCAGACTGTGGGAAACGGGAAGACAGGAATATCCTGGACCAACATGAAGAACCTAGAAGACCTGGATTTCGCACGTGGATAATTTATGTTTGACGTCACACAGAATCGAAGACCTACAAGCGGAAACCGACCGACAAACTGGTCGAAGAAGCAGTCGGCGAAGACAGGACTCCAGGTTATGAAAATAACCAACCAACAACAACACCAACATCCAGCATCAATCACCATCAAAAGGAGGGATTTGAAAGAGGTTACTCCATTCACTCACTGATCTAGGGAGCATTGTCTTAACTACAGGCGGTCGGAACGGGCGAGGGTGTCAAATTGAGAATCGGGAAGGCGAGAAACACATTCATCAACCTGAAATTAATCTGGAAATCTTCGTCACTCAGCCAGCATCAACAACAAAATTCGGTCGGATTTTCAATACAAACGTCAGGTCAGTTAGTTCTTCTATACGGATCAGAAACTTGGCGGGCGGGTGACAAAGAATATTTCCAACAGCCTTTTGCAAACCTTTATCAACAACAACTGTCTTCGCTGGCTCTATACTGAAGATCAGATAGCCGGGCTGGAAAGAATCACCCCCCAACAAGAAACTATGGGAACGAACAAAACAAGAACCAATCACCAACCAACAAATATGCAGGAGAAAGTGGAGATGGATTGAACATTCACTCACTGAGGAGGCCGCTGGGTGACATCGTGCGTGCGTCAGACCATTGCTCAAGTGGAACCCGACAATATGGGAAGCGGCGAGTGGGACGTCAGTGCAAGGGTGACATGGAGGAAATCGTGTGAAGAGGAGTTGAATCAGTATGGATTAACATGGATGCAGGTGAAAAGTACACCAGAAGAAAGACAGAAGCAAATGAAGACGTGCAGTTGAAGACCTATGTTCCACTAGGAAACCAAGGGAACAATGATAATAATATAATCATAAATGAAAAGACCTCCAATATTCACTTACTTGTAATAAGCCACATGTGAACCGGTAACAATGTCTAATAAACTTATTGGAATCAATAATAACAATGGCGATGATAATGATGATGATAATAATAATAACAACAATAATGATGATGATGATAAAAATAATCCGGAATTCGATGAATTCATTCGAATGATCATTTTGTGCGGTGGTGGTGATGGTGGTGGTGTTGTTGTTCTCCTTGTTGTTGCTGTTGCTGTTGTTGTTCTAATATCGTCAATTACTTTTAGAAAAGACGCTTAATTCAATTGGATATAAGTATCATTATTATAAACAATGATTGGTATTATGATTATTATTATTATGTTGATGATGCTTAGTGTTCAATTGTTCAATGTGATACAATTGAACATTGTATCAGTTCTGATAAACAAAAGTTTGGTTTATATATATATATATATATATATATATACTGTGTGTTATCTATCACACGTGATCAAAGACTCTGATATACACCCTTTGGCATCGTCATGCATAGACATAATAAGGGAGGTAGGACGAGAAGGAAGGCGTACACAGGGAGGGAGTGTTAACCACCTAACTGGCATAAAAAGCTAAAGTGAAGGTGTTGTAGTATTCACCTTCGATATATGCATAGATAGATACATAGATAGATAGAAATGGACGAATCAAATTATCATGTATATATATTTATATAATATGACCTTATTAATCTACCAAGTTTTGTATATATCATGAATGGAATACCGCATATACACATATATACGTATGTAGATATACAAGCGTAAACAAATCTAATGGTATAATAAGGCATTTTAGCATTTTTAAGACCAGAGATATCGAATGGAAAAATCTATAAAAATATAATGTGGAACATATTGTGTACAATAAATATATCAGTGATAGTAGTCGTAGTTGTTGTATTAATAGTAAGATTTACGTCATATCGCTTAAAATAAACTATACCTGGATAGGCAAATGAATGAATCGATGAAGTTGTGAAGATGTATTGATTAAAATGGGACTGGAACTGGTGTAATGCATGCCAAACCATCATCGTCTTCTCTGTCAAGAGATGTTTAGCTGAACGCAGAATTAGATTGATACAGAGTTAAGTGGTGCGAGGGGGGGTGGGTGACAGATGGAGAACTAGAGCATCATTCCATGAAGTTTTTGACCGTTGGATTCAGTCAGTCAGGTGGTGAGATGTCGATTACATGGTTGCGATATGGGATATTAATAACTGGTGACTCATCTATTTTGATGGGATGTTCACTATCTAGTAGATGAGATAAAATGGCACCGTTTATTGATTTGATTACTCCTTTTCCAAGCCAGACTCGAACATGTGTACTGCTTATATAACTTGCTGTGCAGCAGTATTTGGATTTGTCTGTCTGTTTAAGTAATTGATGTGTAGTTCTGTTACGCTGAAGGTTATTTCAACTGATTTAATCAACCTGAGACTTAGGATATCACTGGATGCATATTGTCTTCGAAGTGAACTCTTAAATAAGGCTTTTTCTCACTCACCGTATTCTGTTTTATTTTATCAGTCCCTTCAGAAATATGCTACTTTACAAAATTAGTAGGATAACCAGTTTCCGGAAAAGTACTTTTAAAGATTTTCATTCCAAGGATTTCATCATGAGCTGATATTAGTTAGAGAACCACTGGAAAATCTGGGAGTGCTTGATAGCTGTTTCGTCCTAGTTTGGGACTCTTCACAGTATGCACCCACATCCAGGGTTCGCACCCAGAACTTTCTGGTTACTAGGCTAGAGAGCTCGTAAGCCGCTGAGACCCTATCCAATGGCAACTCCATGAATTCTAACTTCTGTCAATTCATGCACGACATGGCGTGACCACTTCGCAATGTCTTCTTCCATGAGTTACTTCCTCATCTTCAAACTGTTTTACCCTGCTGGTCATGGCTTCCCACTAGAACTGCTGGTTAACTGCCTGAATAGGGCCAGTAGCTGGTGAGCATGGGATGAATTTTCAGGTATTGGTTTTTTAGGGATTTTCGCTTGAAAAAATCATCTGAAAATTCATCTCATGCTCACCAGCTACTGGCCCTATTCAAGCAGTTAACCAGCAGTTCTAGTGGGAAGCCGTGACCAGCAGGGTAAAACAGTTTGAAGATGAGGCAGTAACTCATGGAAGAAGACATTGCGAAGTGGTCACGCCATGTCGTGCATGATTTGATAGAAGTTAGAATTCAAGGACCATTGGGTCGGGTCCCAGTATCTTAATAGTCTGCTAGCTAGCTCGCCTTGTAACCAGGAGGTTCTGGGTTCTGACCCTGGAGGTGAATAGGTGCGTGCTGTGAAGATTCCCAAACTAGGACGAAACAGTTGTCCAGTACTCCCGGTTTTCCAGTGGTTCTCTAACTGATGTCAGCTCATGATGAAATCCTCCATGCATTCAAACAAAAATCTCTACAAAACCATTACCTGAAAATATGAAAGAAGCAATCTCATTTACCTACCGATCGACCTGGGAATCATCGTTTCAACTACAGGCCGAGAGAACTGATGAGGACATCAAAGCGAGGATCGGGAAAGTGAGGCAAGCTTTCATTACTCTCGAGTCTGTGTGGAGATCAACAGCACTTCTCAGTATGAAAAATAGGATATTAATTTTCAAATCCAATGTGAAGTCACTACTACCATACTGATCAGAGACTTGGCTCTGCGTCACGAAGGCCATGTCGAAAGAATTAGGAACCTTCATCAACGCCTTTCTTCACTGAATACCACTCAAGATCATATGGCCGGCTAAGACAAGAATAACGAACCAACCGAGTAAGAACCGATAGTACAAGAGATTTGCAGGAGAAAATGAAGGTAGGTGGATTGGTGATACTCTGAGAAAACAAACCATCAAATGAAATCACACACCAGGCCATTGCTCGAGTGAAAACGGAATGGGAAGTGGGGAGATGGTCGTCAGTGGGTGGGCTACATGGAGGAGAAGGAGGTCATGCGAAAAGGAAATGAAAGTATATGAGCAGACATGGAGCCAGATGATGAAAACGTTGGCGGAAAACCGAACGCAATGAAGACGTGAGGCTGAAGGAGACAATAATATAATAATAATCTGGTTTTCTTGTTAGTAAGATGTCGAAAAAGGTCATTTTACTTTGGAATTCTTCTTTTGAATATGTGGATTTTATTGGTGGATAGTGACTAGCAGTGGAATCCAGGATGCGCATTTCGTCCTATTTGGGACTCGTCATCTGGATGTACCTGCATTTCTCAGTGAGTGATGACGTTCCGACCGAGGCTCGAACCCAGTACCCATAGTTTCAAACGCCAAAGCGTTATCCACTAGACCACTTGGGCCACGAGAGTCACCATCCACCAATTAAATACTAACTAAATGCTCAGACATCGTCGAAGCATCTGCACAAGAAGCCGACATGTCAACCTGAGACCGAGCACTTCGGTCCAATCAATCGACGGGAAAATCAAAAATTCAATTCAATGTGGATTTTATACTTGAGTGTATTTTATTGAATTGAAATATTTTATTGCATTCCTGCCTAAATCATTTTCGCAATAATAATAATAATGATAACAGTCGCTGACCCCCATGCAATTAATTGATTTGTAAAACAGTTTACATAATAAAAAGTACTTTTTAGAAGTTTATCATTGACTAAACTTTGTGTTAAAGCCTAAACTAAGTGTCCTCATAATGTCATACAATCTGTAGTTCGTTTAATTTTGCATACAGTCAAAAACAGGTGTGTTCTGAGCTTCAGTTTTCATTCAGGACAATGCAAAGTGTCATTTGATCTAAATCTCTCTCTCTCATGGACACTTTAACAAGATGAATATGGGTTGAATATTTCCATGGTCAAATTTAGTACGGCATATGTAAGCGAACAATATTGTCGTCATTGTATCTATCAGTATATCAACTGCTTCAGTGGAGCCAGTTATTTTAGTAGTAGTGACTCTAGGAACTTGAATTTTCCTACTCGGAAAAACCTGCCCGTGTGGTTTATTAAAGCTGTAGTTAAAATTATCAACAGTTCTTCTACATTAGATCACCTCGTCCACACAAAAGCTGGCTAACACTGAAGAGTCTTTCCTCATCATCTCTCCGGCGTGAAATAAATTAGAAAAGGACTTTAGATACCAAACACTGCAAAAAGCAGAAGGTATTGCCATTCGCTTAAGGCAACTGGAGTTCTGCGTAGAAAAGAAACAGGTCTAAACAACGACTATTGCTGGCCTGCTCTGTGGCCCACTCAAGTCGTCCACTGACAATTTGCAAGTGTACAAACGATACGTAGATGACATCTTCGTCGTTTTTACCAACAGTTACGACCAAAATTAGTGGCTGAAATTACTCAACACCTGCCATCTGGCAATAAAATTCACTTTAGAAATGGAATGTGAATCCGAAATTTCCTTTCTTGATGTTCGACTAACAAAATGACCTAAGAGGAACTTAAGAAGGTCAATCTATAGAAAGCCCACTTGTAACGGCAAACTACCAAGTTTCTTTACCGGGGTACATTTCGGGAGGAACGAAATCTGATTAGATCTCTTGAGATTGGGATCCGACTCATCCGCAGTCCTAACTCCCTGGAAGCAGAACTGGATCTTCTGAAATAAACCTTCATCCGAAATGGATATCCTCCAAGATTTGTCTACAAGAATAATAAACCAAAGATCCAGGGGAACGAAATATCACTGGTTTCAAAGAAGATATTTTACATGAATCTGGATTTCAAGGTAGACTTAGCCTACGATATTCTCAACAGAAGTGTTCTGCAGTAATCCACTGATCTGCAGGAGCCTTAAGGACAAGATCCCCCCCATCTGGCCACTTCGAGGTGCATATATCAGTTAACCTGTTGCTGTGGAGCCAGGTACATTGGTCGTTTGATGCGTATCCTGCCCAGAAGGGTTCAAGAACACTATCCCGCATGACTACAAAAAGTTAATAATGGCTGTATAAGGAGTGCGACAATAGAACACCTCGTCAACACTGGTCATTCTATCTCAACAAACGTCTCCTCCTTCAGAGTGATCTACGAAGTGAAGAGCAACCTACCATAAGGCAATATGCTTTCTTTCCTTTGTGTTGCTCAAGCCTTGGTCATTCAATTGGAGAAGCCAGAGTATACAAAATAAAATCATTCAACCACTTCTACTAGCATGGTAACAACCGTGCCGACTTCTACTAACTTGATTTTTGTGTGATTGTTTCTTTCTAATTCCTTATAACATTTGTAATTTTTAGAACTATCACATAATTCCATAATTTCCCCTGTTTCTATGTCCATACCCTATTACGTAACTGCATTACGCTTGTTCAACTTCTTTTACGTGTTAATAAAGATGTTTTTTGATCCACATCGCTACTACTCTCTTACCAATCTTCACGCCCTTCCCTAATCACACTTTGATTACTCATCACATTTTTT